CTGTGTGCCATACTTTGGGAAATAATCCCCGAGCAGAAGGCTCTAGAACCTAGGGGGTAATAAAGAGCATTGATCTATACCTTAAATTTCTTGGCTACAAGTACCTCTTTCTGGAAGCTCCTATTAGGTACTGGAATTATCCTTGAAACCCAGTAGCTTAAAATAACAACTATGTATCATCTCACAAACTTTCCAAGGGTCAGGAACCTGGGAGCTGCTTAGGTGGGTAGTTCTGAAAAGCTCAGATTTCCTGATTAAACAACTTGGGGAACAGGGGGTCAAATACCAAAACAGTGAGAAGGATCTCCCTAGGAGAAAGCAAACCCACTGGTTCATCCCTGATATAGTCCTATGCCTGAGACTTCAGAGATGGTTCCTGCCACAAGAATCTATCTCCTGAAGGCTTGTTTCTCTGAATTTGGTGAAAAGGAGGTGAAAATGGGTGCAGAGATACATACTTCTATAGATATGAGGGTGGATCATTTATTTTTCCCATGAAGGAAGAAATAAAGCTATTGTTGCAGTATACAACTTGAGTGTAGACAGTTGAGTGTAGACAGTCCTGGATTATTGATGGGGAATTGGAAAGGAAAGATGGATACTTTGGATATACTGCAGCAATAATATGCCTATTTGCATTTATTCAATATATGCATACATTTTATCTAGCAGCTCTCAGTAGCTTGGTTATATTAAAGAAAACAGATGGATCGATTTCTCTCTTTGTTTATATTTAAAGTGAGTTTCTTGTAGGTAGTATGTAATTGGGTCTGCTTTGTTTAATCCAATCTGACAATCTTTTAATTGGGGCATTCAGTCCAATTACATTTTAATGTGATTATTGATGTAGTGGAATTTAAATCTACCATCTTGCTCTTTGTTTTCTATTTGTCCCATCTGTTCTTTGTTCCATTTTGTCTCTTTTCCCGCCTTCTACTGGATGAATTGAGCCTGTTTTTATGATTCCATTTTTATCTCCTTTGTTGTAGTCATAACTTTCTGTTGTGGCATGTTGGTGGTTGACATAAGGTTTAGAGTTTGATCTTTAAGTTCTCACTGTTTACCTCCAAGTGACTTCCTACCATTTCTGCACCAGAGGAATCTTTCAGCAGAACTGCTGTTCATCCCCTCCACCTTCACTCTACTATTTTTGTGATACTTTTTCCTTTTATTTATGTTATAAACTACATAATACACTGTTACCACGTTTTAAATTTAAAGTCAATTATCTTTTAAGGATATTTAAATAACAATATGGAAAGGCTTTTAGATTTATCCAGGTACTCACTCTTTTCAGTACTCTTCATTTCTTTGTATAGATGCAGATTTCCACCTGCAACATAGCTTTCATTTCTTATATTCATAGATCTTCTGGTGATGAATTTTTCAACTTTTGTAATGTCAAAAAACATCTTTATTTAGACTTTTTTTTTGGTAAATATTCTTGCAAGGTATAGAATTCCAGGCTGACAGGTTTTTATTTCATTCAGTATTTACATTATTGCTCCACTATCTTCTGGCTTGCATTGTGTCCAGAGAGAAGTCTTCTGTAAGTCTTATCTTTCTCTGCACGCAACATTTTACCCCCTCTGGCTTCTTTTAAGATTTTCTCTTTGTCACTGGTTTTAAGCAATTTGATTATGATGTACCTTGGTGTAGCTCTCTTTATGTATCTGGTGATTGAGGTTGATTTGGTTGTTTGTATCTATGGGCTTATAATTTCCATAAAGTTTGGAAAATTTTTGCCAATATTTCTTTCCTTTCCCCCACTTTGGGGAGACACCAGCAGTTCTCTGGTGCTTTGATCATTTTTGTTCAGTCTTTTCTGTGTGTTTTATTTTGAATGACTTCTATTGATGTATTACGTTCACTGTATTTTTCTTCTGCAGTCAAATATGTTGTAATTCCCATTTGGAATATTTTTAAAAATCTCAGGCTTTGTAGTTTTCATCTCTTGAAGTTCTCTTCAGCTTTTAAAAAATATCTTCCATGTTTTTGCTTAAATATGCTAAGTATTTTCTCTGGATTCTTCGTCACCTGGAATAAGGTTATAAAATAAGTGCTTTAATGTATTTGCCTACTATCATCCGTATTATCTCTGAGTTAGTGTCAGTTGATTGGTTTTCTCCTCTTCTTGTGTATGGCATACATTCTTTGCTTCGTGTGCCCGGTAATTTTGAATTGGATGTCTGCTTTCTTGGGTACTGGATATTTTTGTATCCCTATAAATATTCTTGAGTTTTCTTCTGTGGTGAGTTGTTACTTGGAAACAGTTTGATCCTTTTGGTTATTGCTTTGCTAGGCAGGACTACAGCTGTGTTTAGTCTAGAGATAATTTCCCCACCTACTGAGGCCAAACTTTCTTGGGTTCTCTGTCCAATGGGAACAGGAGATGTATGGCCCCATGTGAACTGAGCATTCTTCACTCTTGTCTTTTTGGGTGGTTCTTTCTTCAGCCTCAAGTCCTTTCTTGATGTTTGTCCTGATCAGAACTTAGCTGAAGACTTGATTGGGACGTTGCAGATGTTCAGAATTCCTTCTCTATGCCGCATTCTTTTTTTTTTTCCATTTATTTTTATTAGTTGGAGGCTAATTACTTTACAGCATTGCAGTGGTTTTTGTCATACATTGAAATGAATTAGCCATGGATTTACATGTATTTCTATGCTGCATTCTCATCTCTGCTGCTCTGCTCTGCAAACTAGGCACTCTGGCTTTTTTGAACTTTCAGTTCAAACAATAAGGGGGACCTTTGAGCTCCATCTGGACTTCCCCTCTGTGTACCCATTATCTGGATATTCCTTCAAGTCTGTACGCTGGGCGATCCTAGGGTTCATCTGACATGTTTTCTGTTCCTAGCATTATTTGATGTCCAGTGTCTTGGCAAAACACTGGACATCAAACACTTGAATCTTTTTTTTAAGATTCTCTTTTGATGTGCATAATTTTTAAAGTCTTTATTGAATTGTTGCAATACTGCTTCTGTTTTATACTTCAATTTTTTGACCACAAGGCATGTGAGTTCTTAGCTGCCCAACCAGGGATTGAACCCACACCCCCTGTGTTGGAAATCAAATTCTTAACCACTGGACCACCAGGAAAGTCCCTTGACAATCATCTTAAAAGATATTTCACACTCCCCTCCGCTAACCCCCACCACTTTTTCTGGTTTCAGTTAGGAGGGTAAATCTGGTCTTTGCTACTCTAGCCTGTCTGAAGTCCTGGATAGATTTCTCTAAAGCTGACCATTTGTAGGACAGACATGATGTTACTGTAAGGAGTCAAGAGCACCGAGGCTGTTGGATGAAGCACTGCATTATGAGGCTTAGGCTGTTTTGGGAAAGAAGGTAAGAAGGGGAGCCTTGCTCTGAGAATAGCCTGGAGGGCTTCATACATTCAAAGAACAAGGAAGGTGGCGATAGGGCAAGGGGAAGGAGGCAGCTGAAGAGGCTGGGGTCAGAGTCTGGCAAGTTGGAAGATTTCAGAGGCGAGGCCATTCGAGGTGACCAGCTGCAGGGTGTGGCCATCTGTTAGCTCAAGTGGCATATGAAGGGCAGATGCCGAAGATGAGGAAGCACCTGGAATGTGGAAGAATGAGCTGCTTCTACTTGGGGGGAGGGGTGCTTCCTCGGGAGGCAGGAAAAGAGTGCCTCATGGGAATCCAGGCTGTGGAGCAAGGTAAGTGCCTTTACATGGAATAAAATAAAAGTTCCTTAGGGCATATCAAAGGTGACTAGAGGTAACGTCAACAGAAGAAGCAGGTAGGATAAAAACGTACAGCAGCAGGGAGGGTACTGCACACGAGAGGAGGGACCTTGACTGACACGCTTAGCATCCAGGGATAAGATCTACTGTGTTCCGATGACCAGCCCACAGAAGGAGAGGTTCCAGCTGAGGTGGGGGACCGAGGTGGGCTGGCAGGGGGGCAGCCAGCCTCCAGGTGGCCTCAAGGACTCTTGTATCCTGGGACTGGTGCCCTGGTGTGACCCTCCCACCCGAAACAGGGCTGACTTTAGTAAGCAATAGCATACAGTGGAAATGATGGCATGACTTCCAAAGCCAGGTCATGAAAGACCTCTGCATTGCTTCCTGGGTCACTGGGAGAAGTCCTCATCATGCTGCAAGGACAAGAGCAGCCTGTGAGGAGGCCCGTGTGGGGAGGACTGGGGCCTCCTGTGCCAACTTGTCAGGTGTGTGGGGCCACCCTGGAAGTGGGTCCCTGTCCCCTTCAGGCTCTCAGGTGACCACAGCCCTAAACTAACACTTGGACAGTCTCTGCATGAGTGACCTTAGAGCCAAACCTATCTAGCAAAGCCACTCCTGCATTTCCGACTCATGGAAACCACATGAGATAATCACTCTTTATTGGTGTTTTTAGCATTTGGATTTTGAGAGTGATGGTTAATCAGCAGTAGATAACTGGTGCTGCTTTTGGTACCCAGAACTGGGATGTCTGAGCAAAACCTAAACATCCAGGCATAGGTTTGGATCCAGATGGTGAGCAGCTCGTGCTGGGTGCCGGTCACTGTGGGGTCACCCAGTCAGTTTGGAGTAACTGCTGGGCCCTCTGAGGGTAAAAAACAGCAAAGCTGCCACCTCACTCCTGCCTCTGCATCAGGCAGTGGGTGACCCCGGGGGCCCGCCTACCTGGAAACATAGAGAATGGAATCCTGGGAAATGTAGTCCACTGAGGCCAAGTTTACACATCACAGACACCAGCGCACCCAGACCCGAGGCTGTGACGAGGTTGTCCTTGAGCAGGACCGTATCAGAAGTCAGGGAACCGGACCTCGCTGTCACTGGACGCCAGGGAGGGGAACCCCGGGTCCCGAGAGAAGACAGAGAAGGGACACAGTCGAGTAGTCGGCCTCTCTCGTCTGCAAAGGGCAGGGACTTCCGTGTCCAGAAAGTGGCAGGAATCCTGACCCTGCAGCCGGCCTCACGGGATGAGAAACAGCCACCAAACGTCCCTGCTCCTCCGACACTATTTCTGCTAAGGGCTAAAGACAAGCGAAAGGAGGGTGAAAATCGAACAGGTTCGAAAGTCTGGCGGAAACCACTGCTCCCAGGTGAGATGGGTTTGACCTCAAAGGGAGGGACCAAGACGTGACAGAATTCCTACAGTCATGATCTGGAACAACTCCTCCCACCCTTCGTGGAGTGAAGACCACCACAACTTTGTCCAAGAGGACCAAGAGCGCCACTTCTCTCACAACCCAGCCTGATAGAAGGGTGCCCTGGGCACGGGCATGGTCCCCATTCCTGAATCCCAGAGAGGTAGACAGCAAGTACCTTTTCATCTTTTAGGAGCTTGTCCAAAAGGGTGGAGTGGTAATGCATAGAGGCCACTTTCCATGGGGGACTTGGGGAGACCTGGGTAGTGAGATACCTGGACCAGACCCAATCGGGGTGGCCAGCCCTTCCTGAGCACATATGGGGTTCCTTCCCCTTCAAGGGGGCTGGGGAATGGTGCACTCAGAGTGCAAAAGACAGGGCAGGTCTCAGATTCAGGGTCAACCTTGGGCCCTTGATGGACAACCTCTGACCTTGTCGTTCTTAGTCACCGAGATGCCTAGAGCGGGCTGTGGGCTGTGTCCTGTCTCACAGGAGGGGCAGGTCCTTCCCTGTGTTAGTCATTCAGTCATGTCCGACTCTTTACGACCCCCTGGACTGTAGCCAACCAGGCTCCTCTGTCCATGGGATTTCCCAGGCAAGAATACTGGAGTGGGTTGCCATTCCCTTCTCCAGGCGATCTTCCGGACCGAGGGATCGAACCCGCGTTTCTTACTTCTCCTGCACTGGCAGGCAGATTCTTTACCAACTGAGCCACCGGGGAAGCCCCTGGGATGGTCCTACCCTGAGTGTTGGATAAATGACACAGGTGCGGTTCCAGGACACTGCCCTCGCCTCCCCCGGGCCCCGGAGGCAGCTGGCACCCAGAGGCGAGGCGACTTTGGACACGTTACTCAGTCTCTTATGACAGAGCCTCTCAGCTATCCGATGGCTCAGTGGCTCCAAACTATGTCCAGTCTTACCGTTCGGGGAGGACCTGCTGCTATTAGAGGAAGGCCCCGCACAGTTTTCAGCACAGATGGGTGTTCTCAGAGGACCGTCCCCATCACCCACGGGTCATTTTTCACACAGCCTGGAGCTCAGCTTACACTCGGTGTGATTCCTCGTCCGGCTTCCTCCTCCTTCAGAGGCCAGCAGGGCCCTCGGGTTGCAGTCCTTTCTCCTGCAAGAAACGTCCGTCCAGCGTGGTGTCCGGCTCAGGTGCACTCTGGTCCTGCCACTCTCTAAAGAGTGTTCTGTCAACGAGTTTCAGGCACGAGTGAAGCCTGGAAAGGATGGGCTGACCGCCCCTCACCCCCCAGAGAAAGGCAGAGGCTTCTCCTCCTGCTCAGAAAATCGCCACTCTGGAGTCCAGCCCAGAGCTCCTGTCAGACCTGCCTGCCAGGTCAGAGCTCACCGGCCGGTGGCCTCTGGGGCTCGTAGGAGGAGCTCAGGATGGGTCTCGATTTCTCCCTGACAAACGATCTCTCCGAAATCCTAAGTCCAATCTAGCAGACCAGCCACGGTTTCTCTGCCCAAGGCCAGGAGTGACCAGAGCTGCCCCGCGGGGTGTCAGGACACCAGGCAGACACCACACTGCTCACGCGTCTTTATTTATTGAGCTGAGAATTCACACAGGTAGCATCATACAGCAAATCATTTCCAGGGCTGGATAAAAATGATTGTCACTCACCGCGCTTCACAAAAATTTCTTTTAATGAATAAATAATCTGATGAAATCAAAAATATTTACAATATAAACAAACAGGAAGAACTTCAGATCTGTGAACCTGATCGCCGACCTCCGCCTTCCCGAACCGAACGCCTCCCGAGCTTTTCCCTCGGAAACGATACAAATCTGATAGAAACAACAACTCATACAACATCTCTTGGTTCATTATACGTTTATCTGTTAGTCTTGGAAAGCTACATATATTATGCGACATGTTAAAATACAAATATTAACTAAAATAATATATTATCATAATGCCAGGTAGCATTCTCCACAGAACGAAAATGTACACTCAGCTGTGACAATAACAAACGTTCACGGGCCACAAAATAATACCCCAAAGGTACAAATTCCTTCATAAGAATATAATTGTGCTCTTCAATTTACCATCTGTCTGCGCTGCTCGAAGGGGCCGGTGCCCAGGAGGACAGGGTTGGACCACTGGGTGCTGTGGGTGGGTTTCGGTCAGGCAGCAGCACTATTGGGAATCGGGCAGTGCAAGCAGTTTTATAAACACTTTTTTTTCTTGGACTCTTTTTTAAAAAGAGCCAATTAGGCAAAGCAAAATAAGCATATGGAGCTGTCTTCATCTCATCGGCACAAACACCATGGCACGCGTCCTGGCTCTGCAGGATGGCAGGTTGGTGTGCGGGGCTCTTCACGCCGTCAGCCAGTGTTCAAGTACTCTAGGGCTACCTCGTAGCAGAACTTGTACTGATCCTGGAACACAGAAGGGACACAACATCAGCGCCGCCATAGCAGGTCCCATTTCTCTGAGAGCAATGATGCTGTGCGTGAATGCGTGCTCAGTCAAGTCCGACTCTGTGTGACCCCATGGTAGCCCGCCAGGCTCCTCTGTCCGTGGGATTGTCCAGGCAAGAATACTGGAGTGGGTTGCTGTTTCCTTCTCCAGGGGATCTTCCTGACTCAGGGATCGAACCTGCATCTCCTCTACTGGTAGGCAGATTCTTTACCGCTGAGTCACCTCTGAAGCCCCGATTAGGGCTTTAATTGGAAGCAGTCAACCCAAGAAGGAGGTGAATCAGAAACAAGCCAGGCCGTCACAGTCCTGGACCACACGCGTATTCACTGTTAGTAGATATTTCATACAAGGTCGATGAAAGAAGTATTCTGAAATCTATGCTTGTGAGACTTCTTGGAAAGTTCCAGACAACTGAAACACACGTGTTTGTCCACATGTGTAAGTGCACCTGTCATATCAACACCCTGAGGACAAATTATGGGAAAGCCAAGAGGTGGATTGGGAGGGAGGCTGGAGCCTTCACAATTTGCTCAGTGAGTAAACATGGCTTCATGCCTGACCTGGCTTTACCTTTGATTATCAGTCAACAAGACTCCCTCCAGTTTATGAGCGGTTATTAAGCCCCTCTTAAGTACCAAGCACCTTCACCTACCTCCTGACTCTGAGAAGTCCATGGTCCAGAGAGGAGGATGAGATAGGGACCCAAGGGCCCCCAAGAGGCAGAGCTGAGTGGGGCCCATGAATGGTCCCCAATTTGGATGCAGTGGAGGGGGGAGGAGCAGTTCTCAGGGGAGATGTGAGAGGGTGGCAGGTGATGGGGAGCTGGAGGAGGAGCATGCGGACTCGGGGAGGTGGATATTGAGTACCTTGGATTGCCCAGGACAGTCTCGACTGATGCCTGTTATCTTGACAGAATGGATAGTTGAAGCCTCATTCGCTCTCAAAAGTGTCCCAGTCTGAATGATAAAGCCCGTGGACCTCCTGACTGTGGTCCTCCTAGCACGTTGCCCGGGTAGAGATGGCAGAACAGGGACAGGCACTGGGGGCAACGTCTGATGCCCCCTGGGAGCCACATCCCAGTTCTTAACGGGGCAGCGAACTCGTTTCTCTTGAGCACAGCTTTCTCAGATCCTGGACCAGCACCTGCACAAGCCTCCAATTCACATTCTAGGGTTTATTATTTTGGGATCTGATACTTCTATTTTCAGAATATTTATAAGAAATCACTTGAATTTCAAAATCCTGACACTGCCAGCTCACAGCTGACACTGGCTGAGGCGAGCTCCAGTCATTGCTGTTTTTGTGAATCGCACAGACAATTCTTTGTTTCTTTTTCGTGGAAACCTAAGAGAGTTCCTTCTTGCAGAAATGTGATTTTGTACAAAGCTAGCTGTGCAGTTAGTTTCAGTGCCGACTATGGACCGTCCTCTTAACAGAGTGCTATGCACACTTAGTCGCTCAGTTGTGTCCGACTCTGCAACCCCATGGACTGTAACCCACCAGGCTCCTCTGTCCAGGCAAAAATACTGGAGTGGCTTGCCATTTCCTCCTCCAGGGGATCTTCCCGACCCAGGAATCAAACCTGCATCTCTTGGATTGGCAGGCAGCTTCTTTACTGCTGATCCTTAAAACAGTAAGATGCACTTACAGGGCCACGTGGCTGCTGCCTTGGGTCAAAGGTGAGTGAGGAAGTCTGGAAGGGGTTTCGGGTTCATCCCAAGGGGCGGCTGTGCGGGGGGAGGGGTCACTGAAGGTGCCCCGTCATAGGCATGACTACAGTTTTTCAAAATGAGTTCTCTCTCTCATCTCATCCCTCCTCAGTAGGCTGCTAGCTCCACAGACTCTGTGATGACTGGTTCTGTACAGGGAATGAGCAGAAGGAGCACAAATTGCCGGTCCCCTTCCCCACGTACCTCGAAAAACACCTGAAATCTTCCCACTTGGAACCTGATTACACTTGATCACCAGGTAAGCCCTTTGGCGGTTTCCTCGCTTTTGAACAGTATAATTAAGCCACATGAGCCATCTCTGCTTCAGGGGAGAAAGGGCGTTTATGCTTTGGTCCCAGGATCTCCCAACCTGGGTGACATTAGCTGATGATGTGAGCATCTTTGTGCTGGACCGCAACCAGGGTAACTGGCAACTCCTCTTCAAGACCCCTGCCCCCACCTTCGCTTCAGATGCCCCTTGCTCTCCCAAAATGGGGAGAACGTGAAACTTGAAAGGGTACCCCACGTGTGGTCAGGCTGTAAGAGTCCTCACCTTCAGGGAGGGCATGGGAGGCCTCGGTGTTGGCAGGCAGCCGCAGGCAGCTCCCCTAAGGGCCGGACAGTGCCTTTGTCTGCGGAACGTGGCCCCACAGTCAGCCTGTTACTTCAAACACCCCATGTTGCCTGAGAAGTTTCAAAGAGATTGTGTGCTCACCTGGGACAGAGCTTCCCCCTCCCCGCCCCTGCACACACACCTGCTTTTGGAAACGAACACCAGCTTCAGTCTCAGCTGGATACTTGCTGACAAGCGGAAAGATGCTTCTGCCCGATGTGCCTGCCAGGAGGGGAAGTGGGCCCCTGCGCCAATAACCTCAGGTGGGACTGTTTGGATCAGTGTTCCCAGGGGGTCACACCAGGTGACCAACCTCTGTGCCTATGAGACCTCCAGGGGGCAGCTGCCTGTCTCTGACGATAGATGGATGGGTCGTTATGCTCGGTATAGCTTTGAAAGAGTCTGAAGCACTTTTTCCCTTTCCAAGGCCACATGCAGTCTGTGCATCTGGCTCTCTAATCAGACCCATCGGCCTGTGGCCACTGCCTTCCCTGGTCCAGGGAGCAGCTTGGGTTCGGCAAAGAGAAGAAATGGGAAGTGGGCTTGGCCTGCCCCGCCACCGGCGTGGCCATACTGCAGGACGAGCCTCTTATCCTTCTGAGCCGTGTTTCTCACCTGCAGCACATCACATGGGCTCTGTCTACCCCTGTCTTCTGGGGCGTGGCCTGGCTCCTGTATCTGTGGAGCGCCCCAGGTGATCCAACGTGTGGATGGGCTGAGGGCCTTTCTAGACCATCCATGAACTTAACCTCGGCTGCACATCAGGTCACCTGGGGCGCTTGTCCCACGGCTGCTGCAGCCAGGTCTGTGTCACCTGGATCAGCCTCTGGGGTGGGCCTGGGGCTCAGAATTTTTTAAAGGTCCCATTAAAGAGAAGTCAGTGTCATGGAGATAGAGACTAGAACTGTCGTTGTGGGCGGAGGGGCAAGTGGAGTGACGCTGGTGAGGGTACAAATTTTCAGTTATAAAAGCAGTGAATTCCGCAGCTCTACCATTCAGCACAGCGACCAGAGTTAGTTATATGGAACTGTACCCTTGAAACTTGCTGACCACGGATTGCAAGTGTTCTGATCGCACAGACTCAGCTGCGCTCACTCCAAGAGTCCACAGTCATGCTGATCACCGTGGTCGAGGGAACCACTCCACAACGAGTGAGTGTGTCAAGTCAGCATGTTGGCCAGAGCTCCCACCGCCTCCCAGGGACAGTAACTTCCTCGGGTAAGATCTGGCTCCTAAAGGCTGCTTGTCTGTTAACATGAGACCTGGGAACTTCAAAGCCAAGTGCAGAAGCAAAAGTGAGAGAGGACTGTGTGTTGAAGCAGCTGGTTTCCCAGCAACCATATGAGATGCAAAGTGGCTCAGCGCAGGGGACCCCGTCTACCTCTGACCAGGTCAGTAGCGCCAATCTCAGGCTGCACTGTGGCAGTGGGCCCCTCAGGGATCCAGGGCTTTGATGAGGGCTGAGGGCTGGCTGAAGAGGTGGATCACTGTGAAGCGGGGCAGAAGAGGGGTCAGGAGACAAACCCAGTGGCCCTGCTGCATCAAAACATCTTGTTTAGTCGATCAGTCCTGTCGGACTCTTTTGTAACCCTATGGACTGTAACCTGCCAGGCTCCTCTGTCTATGGGAACTTCCAGGCAAGAATACTGGAGTGGGTTGCCACTTTCCTCCTTCAGGGGATCTTTCCGACCCAGGATTGAACCTGGGCCTCCTGTATCGGCATTGGATCTTTTACCACTGTGTCACTAGGAAAGCCCATCAAGACATCTAGTCTTGTGTTAAAGTGATTTTGCTTCCTGGCAATCCACTGACTTTTCCCTGGAGCCTCCAGACCTAAACATTTGAAGAAATAAATCCGTAGGCCCTCTGACTCTCCCTTGAGAGTGCCACGCTTCAAAATGGACAAGGAAGTTTCTAACTCAAACACAATTTGGAAAAATAATCAGACCCTCAAGGGGAGATGGAGATGGGCCCACTTTGATCCCCTTGGAACATTCATCCTGCTCTGATAGGGAGATGGGGGGATGAGGGTTGTGGCAGCATGTTTTGGGGTCTGAATGGAAGGATGAGCAGACCCAGAGGGGCCTGGCCAGGGTCCCCACGCCCACCTGCCTGCCTCCTGGTGGCCAGCATGGGGTCTGCTCTAGGGAGCCCTGGCTCTCGCCTCCTCCTGCAAAGAGACAGCTAGGAGCGAGCTTCTCAGCTACTGGTATCACATTCTCTACTTAGGAGAGACTCAAGTCTTGGATGGTCTTTTATGCCCAATAAAACTGTACCAGGTTTTATCACCCTGACCTGAATTAGTTCTTTCAGCCAACACACACACACACATGAGCACCAAACTGAACAGAAACTACTCACAGCAAAAACAAACAAGCCAGCGATAAGAGCCCTGATTCAACTCAAGAAGCTTCAAGCCCACTGAAAAGAGCACCGTGACATTTTCCCTCTGGTCACCAGATAAGATCTATTATCCCACTAGGAGGCACCGTGACAAATTCATCAGACATTTTTCTCAGGAAATTGCAGGACTTTCTTACATTTCTCAGCCGCTGAGCTTATCATAAAACTGGTGCGGACCTTTGGGGTTCTGGGAATCCGAGGATCCTGTTCCTCTTTCAGAACCACATATGAATAGAGAAATGCCCAGGTTATGATGGGAAAGTGAGCTGTGGTCAGGAGCTGCCTTCATGGAAAAGCACCCCGTACTGCAGTCTGCACCATGGATCTGGGAAAAGCCTCGCTGCTTTTGCCCAAAAAGCTCGTGAGTGAAGGAAGCTCAGCAGAGCCATTCAGGGAAAGGCCTGGAAGGGTCTGTTTCTAACGATGTGCTTAAGTCAGGCTGCAGTGAGAAGGAGATTACACTTTTTTTAAAAAGTCAAGGTCACTTTATGACAACTAAAGTTTGGAAGCTACACGCCTGTCCCTGAATCAGGGCATTAAATACCAAATGATGTCACAGAAAAGTTTAATTTATGCATTTGTTTCCAGCCTCTGCCAATCTGCTTATCTGTCCTAAACTCGGGTCACCTCCAACTGCCCTTAGCCCAGAAGATGGAGAATTCAGGGTGGGGGAACTCTAAAATTCAGGGGGCGTCCCAGGGAGTGCTTAGATGGCATCACCAACTCAATGGATGTGAGCATGAGCAAACTCCGGGAGATAGTGAAGGACAGGGAAGCCTGGCCTGCTGCAGTCAGTCCATGGGGTCACAAAGCATCGGACACGACTTAGTGACTGAACAACCCAGGAAGTGAGATAGTCCTCTGACCAGTGAAGTCTGGGCACAGAACCTGGCCCATCCATGAAATCTGGACTGTGTGAAAGGCACTTATAAGCACCACATGTACACATGCTGCTGCTCCCGAAGCCTCCTCGCTGGCACCCAGTGCTTTTTTTACCTGCTCCAGGTGGGCTGCTGGTCACACTGTGCCCTGTAGACACCTGCAGTCTTAGGGATGGGCTTTCTCACCTGGGGCACTTCCAAAACATTTGCACACATGTCATCGCAGAGGATGATCTGAACAAACCAACATCACCCCTGGTTTACACAACTCAGGCTCAGGAGAGTCGAGTGACATGCTCAAGGCGATGTCAAAGTTATCTGAGGTTACTTCACTTGAATGAGCAGAGCTGAGACTGCTGGGCAGGTTTGAGGGGCGTCCCCAGGGCAGGATGGGGAAAATATGGAAACAGTGGCAGATTTTATTTTCTTGGGATCCAAAATCACTATGGACAGAGACAGTCATGAAATTAAAAGACACTTGTTCCTCGGAAGAAAAGCTACAACAAACCTAGACACCATATTAAAAAGCAGAGAGATCACTTTGCTGACAAAGGACCATATAGTCAAAGCTATGGTTTTTTTCAGTAGTCATGTATGGATGTGAGAATTGGACCATAAAGAAGACTGAGCACTGAAGAATTGATGTTTTTGAATTGTGGTACTGAAGAAGACCCTTTAGAGTCCCTTGGACTGTAGGAAGATCAAAGCAATCAACCCTAAAGGAAATCAACCCTGAATATTCATTGGAATGACTGATGCTGAAGGTGAAGCTCCAAAACATTGGCCACCTGATGAGAACTGACTCATTGGAAAAGACCCTGGTGCTGAGAAAGATTGAGGGCAGGAGGAGAAGGGGTCAAGAGAGGATGAGATGGTTAGGTAGAATCACCGACTCAATGGATATGAGTCTGAGCAAACTCCAGGAGATAGTGAAGGACAGGGAAGCCTGGTGTGCTGCAGTCCATAGGGTCACAAAGGGGTGGAAACGACTTAGTGACTGAACAGCAACCACCCAGGGCAAGGTGGGGAGCAGCAGTGTTGGGGGGTACAGGCCTTTAATCGAAGAAGCCAACATGGTAATTGCTGATGGTTTTGAGAGTCTGCACCTGGCTGAAGAGGTGCCTGTTTGTTAAATTCCCAGGGCAGCACATGCATCTGTAAACTAGAACAGCTCATGAAGCACCCGGCACGTCTGTGGGGGGAGCAGATGGCCCTGGATGCTGAGCAGGGCTCGGGTGGGTCCCAGGAGCTGGCCATCAAGGGCGGGGCCACGGCTGTTTCCTCAGCTTCAGAATGACTCTCCGCCCGTCTTTAGTCCTGTTACGTTACTGACAATGTTAAGCCCCGGCTGCAGCGCTGTGGGCCGGGGAAGCACACTTTCCAAGCTCCTCAGGGATTCCACCTCTTCCTGCCCCCCGCCCCGACCCCAGTCCACTCTCTCCACCTCGGGATGAATCCCTCTGTCTCCTTCAGATCCTTCCTCCACTAACAGAGAAATACAAAAACCTCATTGAAAAGCTTCCTCCTTTAAACTGTTCTCCTGTTCTCGAGTCACAGCAGTCGGCATTTCAACAGCTCCGCACAATAAAGAGATTTCATGAAATTCCCGAAGAAAACCATTCTACCTCGTTCTTTGTTTCTGCACCTCTTTCATCCTCTCCTCAGATACCCGCCATAATTAAAAGCAATCGTCCGGATGTCAAACTCCAATACCCAGCTTTGATAAATATTAGGTGATTAAGCTATTTATAAAATCTGTAATTTGAAAATCTGGCATTTCATGTGCTATGATTATTTCTTCTCCGTGAAGATGAAGTGCTTAGCCATGTGGAAGGTGCTGCTGAGAATGGCAATTAATCAGGATGTGCGCTTGTGAGTTTCAACTATTTCCACGTGTCAGATGTATTGAGAGGAGCCTACTGGTGAAAAGGCAAGAGGAAGTGAGAAGGGAGAAAAACTCGGACGAGCAAAGCAAATGTACCTTGAGCACGAGCCTCTCCCACCAGGGATCAGACTGAGCTAACCAGGAACGCCCCCCACACCCCAACCCCGAGTGGGACGACAGATGGACAGGGTCCTACCAGCAGGTCCACCATGTTGGGCTTGTTGTTCCTCAGCGTCTTCACGGCGTGGAAGACGTCCACCGTCCGCTGGTGCCGGAGCATCTCGCAGACGATGCTGATGGCACAGAAGGTCCCGCTGCGGCCGCCCCCGTTCCTGCAGGGAGAGGAGAGGCGGGTGGTGGGTCTGGGTCACCTTCACAGCGCATGGCTCACACCACCTGGTCACACCTGCTGCCCAAGCCCTCCTGGCCGGGATGTTCCACCCGGGCAAGCCCCTCTATCTGATGCAAACGGAGCCCAGAGCCCACAGATCACCTGAGCAGAGGTGATGGGAACCCAGCTTGCTCTCCCAGCTCCACCTCTGCCCTCACGAGGTAACCTGATACGGCAGCTTTATGCAAAGGGGCCTGCCCAGGAAAATTTTCAATACACAAACAGCTCATGCAGTGTTTGCAGGAAAACTGGGATGGGTGTGGGTCATGCTCAAAGATGGATTTGGCTTTAGACAATCTATTAGCATTTCATGCTTTATCTCTAAAACCTAAATGAAACAGGAGGGAAGGGGGCAGCGCACAACCTTGGAAAGAATGACATAGCCAGAGGGCACAGCATAAACTGATTAGATCCAAATGGGTACTAGAGGGCAGACAAGTCAACTTGACTAAACCTTGATCCTCAGTTTAAGCTCACTGCAACACATGAGCAAGCTAAATGACACACCCAGAGGTGCCATGGCAGTTCCAAAGGGGACCATCAAAGACCAAAAGGGAAATCCCCGACCATTCCCCAGATAGTTGGAATAATCCTCCCACTCACTAGCCTAGGAAATTACCCATCCCATAAAAGGGAATCATAACCATATTTTGAGACTGCCACACTTGCTCTCTGCTATGGCCCACACTCTGTGGAGCATGGTTCTTTCTGAATAAATACAGTTCCTACCTATCACTTTGTCTCTCACTGAATACTTTGTGCAATGAGATACCCAAACCTGAGTTTCATTAGGCCCTGAAAACAGGTCTGTGATCTTAGTCACAAACCGAAGGCCATGGGTTTTGGCTGGGTTCCAGTCCCAATTTGAGATAAATGGCTTCATAAGGGCTCTTTCAAAATAAAACTATTTTGGATTAATTTTAATTGTACAGAATCACTGCAAAAATAGCACAGAGAGTTCTCTGCATGCTCACCTCCCCTGATATGAAGGTCTTACATAACCATAGCAGATGGTCAAAACCAGGAAGTTAACGCTGGTATAATGCTACTGACTAAACTACAGACCTTGGTCAAGGTGTCCAGTTTTTCTACAACCGTCCTTTCTTCTGGTCCAGGATTCAGTCCAGGACCTACCTAGCATTTAGGCATCACATCTCTTCGGTGTTTCCTATGAGCTGCGTCCTCAGTCTTCCCTTGTCTTTCTTGACCTTGACACTTTCAAAGAGGACTGGTCAGTTGTTTTGCAGAATATACAGAATACAGAATGAGATGTAGTAAACAGCGATGGTCCCCCATCCACGATATGAGAAGTCATCACAAAATACAAATTCTAGAAAGTGCCTTCATTTTGATTCATCTGATCACTGGGCATGAGGTTATGCACTTTGGCAAGAAAACCATGGAAAGGCGGTCACCTCCTTTGAAGGTTCATGGTGTTGAACTGTTTTGCTGCTGGCGATGCTGACCTTGGTTGCTTATTAAGATGGTGGATGTCTGGCAGATTTTTTCACCATGTAGTTATGATACTTCTCTCTGTAGTTAGTAAGTATCTTGGGAAAAATGCACTGGGATTACGTAACTATCTTGTTCTCCTCAAAGCTTCATCCGCTGTTGCTAGTGTCCATTTATTGATCCTGTCTGCAACAGTGTTCACTGTGCTGCTTGTTGCTTAGTCATTAAGTTGTGTCCAACTCTTTTCAACCCCATGAACTGTAGCATGCCAGGCTTCCCTGTCCTTCACCATCTCCCTGCATTTGCTCAAACTCATATCCATTGAGTCAGTAATGTCATCCAACCATCTCATCTTCTCGTCCCCTTCTCCTCCTGCCCTCAATCTTTCTCAGAATCGGGATCTCTTCCAATGAGTCAGCTTTTCGCATCAGATGGCCAAAGTATTGGAGCTTCAGCTTCACCATCAGTCCTTCCAATGAATATTCAAGGTTGATTTCCTTTAGGATGGACTGGTTTGATCTCCTTGCTGTCTAAGGGACTCTCAAGAGTCTTCTCCAGCACCACAGTTTGAAAGCGTCAATTTTTGGCACTTAGCCTTCTTTATGGTCCAACTCTCATATCCACACGACTCCTGGAAAGACCACAGCTTTGTCTCTATGGACCTTTGTCAGCAAAGTGACGTCTCTGACGTCTGCCTAATTGGTTTCCACGTCCCTCTTTCCTTCTACATCCTGCTCTAAAGAGAGAACTCTCAGCCACTGTTTGAAAATTTTATTTCTATTATTTATGTCACTTTAAACTTATACATATCAATTTCATTTCTTTGAGCTAAGATAGTATCCATATTTATTTTGTTGCTGAAATTGTTCCTACTTTGGCCATTAGGAGCTCCATCAGGCTGGTTCCTTCAATCCTTTTCAAGCATGTCCTTACTTTCTAGAACCATGAGATTTTCTAACTGGTCCTGTAACTTCTCCCTTGTACCAGCTCTGGAATCAACCACTTTTCCAAGGATGTAAAGGACCTTTTTTAAAAAAAAATAAATGAATAAGCACAATATCATTGTCATTACACCTAAACACTACAGTTTAATGGAATCAAATTTCTAGGTGCTGTCCAAATTTCCCAGGTTGTTTCAGACTTTTTCTTACAGTTGACTTTTTCAAATCCTCATCCAAGCAAAGTCCACACACTGCATTTGGTTGACAAATCTTGCAAGTTTATTTTAATCTGTGGGTTCTTTTTGCTCTCTCATTTTTGCCTCTTGGCAATTTATTTGTTGAGGAAATGGGGTCATTTTCCCTGCAGACAGCCCCATATTCTGGGTTGTTCTTATTCACTGCATCTCTGAGAATCATTTAACCTACCAATCTCTAATTCTGTGCTTTCTGTTAATTGGGATTTAGCTCCAGAGTTTCATAAGAATTCAGGATTTTTCTTCTTTCTGGATAAATATACTTTATAAGCAAACTTTCGTTAGGAAGCAGGCATAGGATATCAACTTGTTTTGTGATTTTAAGATTGATCATTGTGTTCCAGTGCCAGCTTGATCATCCCATGCTTAAGTTCCAAATCAGTTTTTTAAATAAAGTATAACATACCTACAATTAAGTCCACAAGTGGTTAAGTATAGATCCTAGTTAACTTCTGCAAATGCATACACCATGTAACCATCAATCGGATCAAGATCAGACCATGATTCAGCCCCCTGGCTTCCTTCTCCTCAGTATTCCTTCCTCACCAAAACTACCAACACCTTCAAGATAATCTCTGTTCTCATGTCTAGCATCATTAATTTCTTTTGTCTGTTTCTGAATTTTGTAGACATGAAATCATACAACATATACTCTTTTGAGTCTGGCTTGTTTAATATTATCTGTGTGAGAAGCACCCATGTTGTACCAGTAGTTTGTCCTCTTACACTGTGTGTGTTAGTCGCTCAGTTGTGTCCAACTCTTTGGGACCCCCATGGACTGTGGCCCGCCGGGTTTTTCTGTCCATGGAATTCTCCAGGCAAGAATACTGGAGTGGGTAGCTGTTCCCTTCTCCATGGGATCTTCTGGACCCAGGGATTGAGCCCAGGTCTCCCGAATTGCAGGCAGCTCTTTACCATCTGAGCCACCAGGGAAGCCTTTTCTTCTTACATTGCTGAGAATAATTCCATTGAGTGGCTATACTACTGTATAATTTCTTTATCTAGGAGCTGACGAATGTTTGGGCTGTTTGCAGTTTCCCATATTAGGAGTAAATTTGCTATAAGCACATCTCCTATTGCATTTATAAGTCATTTCTGCAGTCACAGACCTCAGAGCAGAAGAGCTCAGAGGATATATTTATATTTAGCTTTGCTAAATGCTGTTAAAGGGCTTCCCAGGTGGCGCTAGTGGTAAAGAATCCACCTGCCAATGCAGGAGATAGACATAGGTTTGATGCCTGGGTCAGTAAGATCCCCTGGAGGAGGGCATGGCAACCCACTCCAGTATTCTTGCCTGGAGAATCCCATGGACAGAGGAGCTTGGTGGGCTACAGTCCACAGGGTTACAATGAGCTGGACATGACTGAAGCGACTTAGCATGCATGCATGCACACACATACGCTATTTAAATGGTTCCAAAATGGTTGTATGTGCTTACTTTGTTCCAACAGTGTTTGGGAGTCCAGTTACTCTACAGTCTCCAGACACTTAGAACCAGTTATTTAAATTTTAGACATTCTGGTGAGAATGTAGGGGCACCCAATTCTGCTGTATTTTAATGCATATTCTCCTGAAAACTAATGATGCCTTTTGTATGCTTATTGGCTATTTGGATATTCTTTTTGAAAAAATGAAGTTCTTGTCAAGCATTTTGCCCAACAGTTGGATTGTCTGTCCTTTTCCTGTCGAATTCAGCAGTTCTATGGCATGCTGGCTATGAATTCTTTGTCAGATGTATGGAGCGCAAATGTCAGTGTCCTGTGTTTCCACTCTCCCTGGATGAACGGGAGTGCTCAGCTTTAATGATCCAGTTTTCCAATGTCTTCCTTTATGGCCGCTGTTCTGTGTCCTGCATAACTCATCTCTGATTACTCCTTCGGGTGAAGCTTTTCTGTAGAAGCTCTGTTGTCTTCCTCTGCAGGTCTGAAGAGCGCATGCACTGGAGATGCTCTCTGCGTAGCGTGAGAAGGGAGACCACTGGCCTGTAGTTGGTGTCCTGCTGTGGGACCTTGCTGTGAGTCACGGGACCCTGAGGTGTGGCTGTTCCTGGATTTTCCTCTTCTGCTCTTTAGTCTCTTTTCTTTCTCTGCACTGACACCTCACTGTTTCTCCTCCACTGGCTTTTCACCTAACACTTTCAGCAGCTGTCAATGACCACTGTCTACATCCATTACTTTCATCAAGCATTGAAAAAGCATGAGACCTTAATTCTACCCATTTCGACTAGTTTTACTAGCTGGAAGACGTGTATAAAGAAAAAGAATTCCCTGCTTGCTTTCTGTGAACCATCCAGTTCACAGCCCTGGAATGGACGCTCTGCCCACGGCCAGTAGGTGGCACTGCGCTATACTGAATAGGAAGAAATTCTCATCTTGGGTGGACAGCAGGTTGCCTGTGGGTCAAAGCAACGTTTCCTGGCCTGAGCTGGAGGATACCAATTTAACCTAACTCTGTTCCTACAACTAAAACACCTTAGATTAAGATTTTAAAATCCTGACAACAGTCAGCATTGTCCCCAGCCTGGGTCTCACGGCTCCTGTGATATAGACACAGTAAATGGCAGCCCCATGGGGACAGCTGGGACTTCAGAGTTGGGGGGAGGATGGTTCCCAGAGAAAAGTCCAGGTTCTCTCAGCAGGAAGAGGGGCCGGGGGCTCGGCTGGCAGGAGGGCAGAAGCAGCAGGTGCCTGCAGTGTCTACTGGGTGAGAGAACAGCCACTGTCTTAGGTATCACGTGGGCAGGGGGTGGAACTGTTCAGTCTGGGGTCACAGCCATGCCTTGGAGAGTGTGTCTACACGGTGTCTACGAGGTGCAGTGACTTAATGGGTCTTTGCATCTTCCCCCCAGGTCCTTCCTGGGGCCTCAGATCTCCCAGTACTGGGATGTAGCTCCCCCCGCCCCTTTTTACTGTTATGATTAAAAAAAAACACTTTTTATTGTGGTAAAAGTCACACGACATAAAACATACCATTTTAACCATATTTAGCTGTGCAGTTCTGTGGCACTAAGTGCCTTCACATTCTTGTACAGCTCACCATCATCCATAGCCTGAAAACCTTCACCTTCCTAAACTGAAACTCTGTCCCCATTAAACGCTAGCTCCCTATTCTCCCCCACCCTCGACCCCGGCACCTACCAAGGGACTAATACTTTCTGACTCTATGAACCTGACTATTCTAGGTACACCTTGTACAAGTGGAATCAAACAGTATTTGTCTGCACCTACTGTATACCGGAATGCACTTTTAAGGTGAACTTAATACATGTGGGATGCAGTCATTTGGGTCCCAGGGCTGGCCCTGGTCAGGAAGCTTCTAGGAAGCGTGATGTTCCTAGTTCCAGAGGCTGGCAGGCTCCTGATGCAGAAATCGGTAACTGCAAGCTGTTTTTGCATCCCCAAGAAAACCTAGCCGATCAAATACAAGCTCTCACTAAGATGTCGATTATCCTCCCTGGGGCTGTATCACCTTACACAGGTGACCCTCTGACCTTATTCTGATCAGAAGTTAAGTCTGCAAGTAGAGGAATAAAAATGGGGATGGGAGCAGTTCATTGATCCTTCTGGACGTTTTCTCAGTGGAGATGATTTTAATGAACTGGGTCGCTGAGAAGGAAGGGGAAGGTGGAGGGGAGAAGTAGGGGGACTTCTGATGAAGGGCCGGTGTTGGTTGCTTCATAAGACCGTTTCTGAGGGGACAGAGGTTTCCTGACACATTCAGTGCTGACAGGTGGCAGAGTCTGGGTTCCCAGATCCGGGGTGGGGGGTGGGGGTAGGGGGCATCTTGTGAGATACGGCAGCGAGTGGAGTAACGAGCTGTTGGTCATGCTGGTTGCTGTAACCAGGGTCAGTGTCCCCGAAGAGGAGCTTTGTCTCCCTTCAATTTGGGAGAGAGTTGCCTGTGAGCTTGTTAACAGTGCTCCACCAAAAAGAGAAGGAAGCTTATACCCAGTGTCCACAGACTCTCTCCCCATCTCCCCAGACTGTGAGGCTTTCCAATCGCCGCCCATTAAGCCACCTCCTGCTGGTTGATTAGCTCCTATCCTTGCCCATGAGAAGATGCAGGTGAAAGTGCTTTGAAAAGCACGCAGACTCGAGCCACGACTTGCAACCTCGGCCTCAGGCTGAAATAATCTGGGAGTTAAAAAAGCACTGTTGCCCAGTCTTCCCACCCCCAGAGATTTGGATTTAATTGTTTTGCTGCGGCCTGGGCATGGCTTTTTTTTTTTTTTTAAAGCCCCCCAGATGTGCAGCCAAGGTTGGGAACCATTATTCTGCAGCCAAGGATCTCCCATTTTAGCACTTGTTAAAATTGCCGGTCTGGAGACCAGTCTGCAGACACTGGCTGTAACCAAATCTTCCCAATATATAGCTATCCCCAGGCAAACAAAACAAAACAAAACTCTCTTAAAACCACAAAGAAGAAGGAGACAGTTCCTCTGAAACCTCTGTCATGAAATCCAACAGAATCACCAATGAGTGTGCTGGTAAACCAGTTCTGCCATAACGGGGAGGGCCCCCTAACTGTGGCATTTGCTGACGTCCGTGACATAAACACGTCTGCCACTGAGGATTTCAGGTTACCAACAGTTTCACAACCAGCTCAGAAAATTCCCTGAAGCTTAACAATGTGCTCTCAAGCGCTGGAAGGAGCTCACTGAACCCACCCAGCTATTTTTTGGGGGAGGCGGCAGCTCCCATTCACAAGATTGGGGCTCAGTTTATAGCAGTGACATCCCCTCCAAAGGCAAAATGTGCATGTGCTTGCTTTCTGCAAAGTGAACTGAACATTTAACGAATGGACCGATGAGCTCTCGCCCAGATCTGCTTATTTCTTCTCCATTTATAGTGAACAAGAGGCGGTGAGCCGAGGCATTAGGGCTGGGTGTGCGTACTCACAGGCAATGCACGACCGTGCGTCCCTCCCCGCCGTTGTACTCCTCCTGCCACTTGTCCACCTGGCGGATGAGCTTCAGGAAGGAGCGCTTGGACACCGGCGTGTCCCTGTACATCGGCCAGCCCAGGAACTGGAACTGCTGCACCATCCGGTACCCGTCCTGGGGCTGCAAAGGGCCGGGCGATCGCAGGGGAGAGGAGAGAAAACAAAGCAGGTGTGACTCTCAGGGCCAAGCTCCAGCGCGCTGGCCCCCCCTCCTCATGCCAGCGGGCCGGAGGGGGAAGGAGGGCCTGCCTGTCATTAGCGAATGGACCGTCTATGGCCCGAGGGGTTAGGAGTCTGAATCGCGAGCTGATACAAAACACCAGGTGTTTCCAACGGGAGGCCAGACAGAAGCCAAGTGGAATGCTCACAGCTTTGCAGACGCTGCATGAAAAACGGCACACGACCTGAGCACTGACCACACTGGCCGAGAGTGGTAAACAGGCTTGACTTTAAGTACAGGTAAACTAAAGGTAAAGGATAAGTTGTGCTCTGGCGATGTCTGTGAGTTCAGAGTGTTACTGATGACACCCTGTGTCCTGGGCGTATAATACGGTTCTGCTCACTAGCGTGACTCTTGCTAAGATATCAGTAGTCTTTCACCATAATTAAATTATGCATGTGTGCTCAGTTGCATCCAACTATGCAACCCCATGGGCTAAAGCCCACCCGGCTCCTCTGTCCATGGGAGTCTCCAGGCAAGAATACTGGAGTGGGTTGCCATGCCCTCCTCCAGGGGGATCTTCCCGACCCAGGGACTGAACAGAACGTGTGTCTGTGTCTCCTGCACTGGCAGGAGGATTTAAATAGAATTTTAGGAGTCAGATAACCAGGCCACGTGATTTTAGTCTGAATCTCTTGGGCTAAATCTTCCGTGGCTGCCGGTAGCACCCAACACAGGGGATCACTCTTGTTTCCTTCCTGGCTGTACCCCCACCAAACCCCTCAGCTCTTGGCCTCCCTTCCTCCCGGACGCTTGCTCATGCAGGCCCCAGGCTCAGTCCTTGGGTCCCTTTCTCTTCTCTTCTCCATTTCTCTCTTGAGGGTTTCATTCAGTCTCATGGCTTTAACTATTCCAGTGAGTCCTCAATCTGTGTCTCCAGACCTCGCTCCTGAGTTTCACCCTCACAGATTCCAAGGTCTCCACGATATTCCAATGCAGGCATCAGTCATTTTAAACCTAGCACGTACACAGCTGAACTGCCTTCCGTCTATGCATGCTCAGACCCCTAACAATCCTGTTACCCGCACAGCTTTTCCCAATTTGGTTAATGTCTGTTCCATCCAGTTCTCAGGACCAACATGCTGACAGCTGCTCCTGAGTCCCTGGGATCCAACCGATCACCCCATCCTATCAGCTCTGAGGTCAGACTGTATCAGAGCCCCTCCACCTCCCCCGCCCACCGCCGCTCTGCCCACCCTTGTCCTTTCCCACCTGGATTATTACAACAGCCTCCTGACCCACTCCCTCACTGTCTGTTCCCAGCACAGATGCCAGAGCGTGCCTTCTAAAAGCTCAATTATAGCATAAGACTCTTCCACTCGGGACCCTGTGGCAGCACCTCCTTTCCTTCAGAGCAGAAGCCCCGATCGTGGTGGTGGCCTGCAGGGCCCTACGTGAACTCTGCCCCCTGGACCCCAACCTCAGTGCCAGCAGCTACTCCCGCCTTCGCCTCCTGGACTGCGGACACATCAGCTGCCTTGCTGTTACGGGACTCACCAGACAATCCCCCCACCTCCGGGCCTTTGACCGTCACTTCTGCCCCCAAAGCCACCTGCAGGAGAGCATGTGGCTGTCCCTCACGCCCACCGGGCTTCATTCACACGGCCCCTCTGCTCACACTCCGGTCCAGGCCTGCACCTTCTGCTTTCCCGTTTTTCTCGGACAGCACACAGCACTTTCTGGCAAATCTAACAGGCAATCTGTGCATCCATCCTCTCCTGTCCGTCTCCTCCCTTTAGAACGTAAGCTCCACAGGGTCAGGGAACTTGGTTTTGTTCACAGACTCCTAGAAGGACCTCAGGCTCCCAAAACGCTGATCTAGACCATCTATCCAGTCAATTGATGAGAAAATAAGGAAACCGCAACACCAGCCACGGTGGTTGTGGATCTTACTCGCGCTGCGTTGTAGATGCGGAATATCCTACTGATGATGTCTTCTTCCAGGTCAGCAGAAACAAACTCCACCTGGATGGGGCCGTGTCGGTGGACTCCGTTCTCTGGCCAGTACTGCGGACACAACTGGATTCAAAACACAGAAACGCGAGGTTAATGATCAGAATACATTTACTGCTCACGTCTGGACAAGGTCACTACCAGCATCAGGCCCCAGTGCCCATCATTCACTTCATTTCCTTTCCTTTCTCTTTTCCTTCCCTCAAGTTGACCTGTTGACTTTCTTGTTGGCTGAGCCCTTAACTCCTCCTGTCCGTCTAATACTTTTTTCTCTATTTTCTGCGAAAGCATCACTAAGTCACGAGGAATTCTGCCTCCCAAGGAGGTCATGTGGGCACTACTGAATACCATCGCTGTAAGATCTCTTTTGCCGCTGAAAGGCACTCTTCTCCGACCCTGGGGAGATGCCCTGAGCTGCTGTTACAAGAGCAAAGACATTTGAGATGACCCACTTGACACCCAAATCTCCAACCTTCCATCTGGGCTCGCCTAGTAGTATGTAATCACTCTGAGAACAGGGCTGTTTTGTGACAAAATACTGACAACAGTGTTGGGTTGCATTTTCTCACGCTCTGGTCCAAACCCTCCCAGCTCAGACCTAGGAAACACGGTGGAATAAGAGTAACCGCTTTGGGCTTCAATTAAAAGCTCAATTTCCTAGCGTCTCACACTCCAGGAATTGATGACACTGGGGAACCAGGACTTCTGGTGAAACATGGAGCAGGTGACGAGTGTGGCGGGCAGGGTGCCAGGTACGACGGCAGATGAGGGAGGGGATCTTGCTTACCACTGCCCTGCAGCAACACAACTTGGAGACAGGTGAGAAAAAGCCCCGTCTGTTATCACAAATCTTTTCTAAAGCTCTGCAAGCATGGGCACAATGCATGCTCAGTTGTTCAGTTGTGTCTGACTCTTTGCAACCCCACAGATATAGGCCGACAGGCTCTGCTGAGTGGGTTGCCCTGCCCTCCTCCAGGGAATCCTCCCAACCCAGGGATCGAACCCGCATCTCTTACATCTTTTGCATTGGCAGGCAGGTTCTTTACCACTGAGTCACCTGGGAAGCCTTCTAAAGCTCTGAGACCCTACTTAAAGTTGGAAATGAAGCTTCTTTGGGGACTTGGTATGCAGTGATGTTTTGGGAGCAGCATTTAACTCTTTTTTCCAATTTACCAGAGGGACAAATGGCTGGGGTCAGGGCAAGAGGAAAGCACTTCATTATTTTACAGTCTATTTCTTCTGAGCCAAGAGCAGATGAAAACATCTCGTTTTAAGCAGAATGATGTACAATGAAGGTGAGAACCTACTGCCTGAAATTCCTTTTTCTGATGACTTTTCTTTTCCAAAGGATTTAAAATCTCATCATGGAAGGTTACAAAGGTTGATTTATATCCAAGATTGCAAGATGGTTTCCAGTGGATCAAACGAAGCCATCTCCCTCCCTCTGTTATAGAAGCTAAAGGTTTGAATTTCACGACCAAGTAGGAAAATAGGATAATGAGGGTCCTTTTTACATGAGCTGAGTCTATAGTATTTTAGAAATTACATTTATTTATTTGAAAATAAGGCTTCTGGGCTTCCCAGGTGGCTCAGCAGTAAAGAATCCACCTGCCAATGTAGGAGATGTGGATTCGATCCCTGGGTCAGGAAGATGCCACATACTGTGGAGCAAACTAAGCCCCCATGCCACAACTATTGAGCCTATGCTCTAGAGCCTGGGAGCCGGAACTACTGAAGCCCATGCACCCTACAGCCCGTGCTCAGCAACTGGAGAAGCCACTGCAGTGAGAAGCCGGTGCGCTGCAACTGAAGATTAGCCCCAGCTCATGGCAACCAGAGAAAGTCCGAGCAGCAACGAAGACCCAGCACCGCTAAAAATAAAAATAACTATATAAAGGGCTTTCATGGCGGCTCAGCTGGTAAAGAATCCGCCTGCAGCGTGGGAGACCTGTGTTCAATCCCTGGGTGGGGAAGGTCCCCTGGAGGAGGGCAAGGCAACCCACTCCAGTATTTTTGTCTGGATAATCTCTACGGACAGAGGAGCCTGGTGGGCTACAGTCCATGGGGTTGCAAAGAGTTGGACACAACTGAGCGACTAAGCATACAGCTATATAATAGATAAAAGTTTAAGAAAAGATATTGCTTCCACGAAATTTTTCCTTCCTCACCAGTGCTTCTTGGTGACAAGTTATAAAACTGCCTTGTCAAAAGACAGCTCACTGAAGTTCATTTTCTCTTTGGCCCTCAGGGTACCCATGTTAAAATGAACAGGCACATGATGGGAAGCTGAGTTGGGAAGAGAAGCCCTGGCACACACATCTGAACTGTCCTGCCCGTCTTCTCCTGACAGAGCCAGCCTTGCTTTCTGTTCGTCCTCCCAGTTCAGCCCTCAATCTAAAGCTCGTCACTTTCATCAGAGAAACACGAATGGCCCGGCCGGCGCAGGCTCCTGGATTGTGGCATTCTGCATCCCACCCGAGGAAACTGTGTGGAAAATGGCTTAAACAGTGCATAACACGTCCATGAACTGGGCCTATAAATACTTAAAGCAGCTGAGTGCTATTCTTGTGTGATTGCAGAGACTTTCGGTTCAAATGCTCCGTTTAGTGCTCTCTAAAAGGCCGAATCCCAAGAGCATCCTTTCTCCAAACCCGCACCGGCTCCATCTGCTGAGTGGGATGGGGACCTTGGTCTCTCCCACCGGGGCAGCCAAGGCTCGGTATGAGCCCAGACAACTGTGGCTTAGAACGCGACTTTAGAATTCAAGTGTTAGTTGCTTAGTCATGTCCGATATTTTGCGACCCCACGGACTGTAGCCTGTCAGGTTCCTCTGTCCATGGGATTCTCCAGGCAAGGGTACTGGAATGGGTAGCCAGTCCCTCCTCCAGGGGATCTTCCCAATCCAGGGATAGAACCCAGGTCTCCTGCATTGCGGGCGGATTCTTTACTGAGTTCACGACTGACTGACTAACACGCTTTAGAATTCAACAGCGTCGTCCAGAAAGAACGTGTGTAAACCACTGATGTCTGGCTCACTCATATGGAAAAAAAACAGTCTATCACGGCATTTCAGTATTCACATTAGGGGAAAAACAATGATTCTGAAGAGGGAACACTCGCTTATCCTTTGTCTGTGATTAAGGAACCTTGAACGAGTGGAGCTGAATGCACGGCATGGTGAGTTAGAAAACCAGAACCCTTGGTCCTATTTCCGGTTGTGTCATTGAGGTTTCCCAGCTGTGGTGTCTGCTTGTGTTTATAAACGGTTGCCACCCATCCTTTGGAAAGGAGAGGGTAACCGCAGAAGACTTCTGAAATATTTAAGCTTCTTAAGTAAAAAGGACTAGATGAGGACAAGCGTGATCATTATTATTTCATTAACTAGCTTTTGGGCTACAGCCTTAACAAGACAATGCATTGCTTCAAATGTAATAAAAAACATTACAGGACTGAAGTGAAGGTCCATGGGATTTTTGGCAGATTGATGACAATTAAGTGGATTTTAGGAAGGAAAATTTTTGTCCACTTTGGCTGCTGCAATATGTCAGACTTTCGTTTCTTTTTTTTTTTTAATTTGTCTCTATGAGACAGAAAATTAATTCCATTCCAGAACAAGTTTATTCTTACAACACACCAAGTTCAAACTTCCCACAAGGGCCTCTGTCACAGCAGTTCAGCCTGTGATTAGAACAGCCGGGTCCTAAAGCGATAAATCCAGCTCCCAGGACCCCGTGCTCACTCTGGCCTGACAAGTCCTTTTAGGAAAATCCTTCTAACCCCATTAGTAATACTGAGTCACCACCGCCCAATTCTGTCTCTCTGTGTATAAAAAGAGGAGCTAGGAACAAATCACATTCATCATTCTGAGTTTTCCTTATCTTCCAGTCTTGGTTTCATTTCTCTTTAATATATCTTTACCAAAGAGTTGACAAAAGTAATTGCCATCCCTTAGAACGGCATGCCAGTCTCCACTCTTTTCACCCTGCTAGGCCAACTGCCACCTGTGGGCTCCAGGTGGGCGACCCCAGGAGGCTCGGAGACACTCCCAGCCCAGATCCGGGGCTGTGTCAGAGGTTGACGGCCTTTCTCATCGTCTCTGGTCCACTTTGCTCTATGCCCTTCAGCCCCTGGGTCAGTCCTGACTGCCTGTTACCCTGCATCTCTCTCTGGTCAGCACTCCCATCCTTCGCGAACAGCCCAGATTATGACCCTCTGTTTCCCTGTCACTCACTCCGTCTCTGAGTTCAGTCCATCTTTTTGGTCTCAGACTATTTTCTGCTGCCATCCCAAATTACATCTGGTTTGTATTATTTTTTGTAAAGTTTTTTTTTTTGTGTGTGTGTGTGTGTGCGGACTATTTTAAAACTCTTCACTGAGTTTTTTTTTTTACAATATTGCTTCTGTTTTATATTTTTTTCTTTTTTGCCACGAGTCGTGAAGGATCTTAGCTCCCCCACCAGGGATCTAACCCACAGCCCCTGCATTGGAAGGTGCAGTCTTAACCACTGGACTGCCCGGGAAGTCCCCTGTCTGGTTTGTAACACAGGCATCTTTGGCTCCCTGTCCTTGCTTGGGGTTTGTAACCTGCAGCCAGGGGACTGCATTCTGGATGTGCAAACACAGGAAACACAGACGGGACCCTAGGCCGGGCTCTGGAAGCCGAGGCCCAGGCGTCTCACCTGGGCGGGGTCCACGTCGTTTAGCATCACCACAGACGTGCAGTGATAATCCAGGACCAGCCTCCAGAAGTCTTTCACCGTGTTTGGCAGAGGATGCTGGGTGACTATGAAAGCCGAGGGCTGTTTATAGCTCTGCAGATGCAAACAAGAGAGATCCAAATGGACCCGGGAGAATGTGACAGGAGGAAGCTAAGTTATTTTGTACACATGGGAGTCCATGACATAAAACACTGAACATATTTAACAACTGTTGAATTCTACCACCATGGTCCATGCCAAAACAGGCCAAATATAGACTCATCTGCAGAAAAATAATGCTAAAGTCACCTCACTTTGATACTAATAAAACTTAATAAGCATCTCCTACAGTTTTTTTTTTTTTTTGGTATTTCTGGTAGAAAGTCAATGACTCTACACATAACTAATTTAATGGAGAAAATTTAACTTCACTTTAAGATATGCATGATTAAGATAGTTCCATTTCTCCTAAAATCTGTGCGCTTATTGTTTAAATGTGTGAGATGGTGTTACTTATTCCTGCCATCCAAGGACACACACGCTTTTGACAGCTCTGCAGAGCATCAGACCAGCTTAAATACCTTTTTACCCATATCACACCAATAGAGTTAAAATTTCCGTATTAACACTGAAAATCCCCATTCACTTTTCCCATCAATTGAATAGCAAATGCTCATTCAGTTAGAAGTAAATAGACTGACAGGAGGTAATGGGTTGTGTACTATCTGTGCTGACAGGCAATTTCTCCCCCATGTTAATTACTGCCTAAATTAGGAGGAATGGGAACTAAAATAATGCTGCAAACCATATTATCCCACTTCACTGCCTTCCTGACTTAATAGCTGTCTCTTGCTCTCCAGCCAGCAGGTTAAAAAACTGAAGTGCTCAGAGCCCTGCCGACACACCCTTCATTTATCAGCCCTCCTGGACTGGGGTCTCCCAGAGACCAAGAGCCTCGGTCCCGACACACAAACAGATACGGAGGGGGAAGTGCACTTCGCTGAAAACACAGTTCATGGCTTTAAAGGGAACCAGGGAGAGGACCCAGGCGCCACCCCCGGAGGAACATCCTGCCGTGTCCTGCCCAGGGAGGGGGCGCGCGGATGGAGGGGGGCTCACGTCCATGAGGGCCGCGTTGATGTAGTTGCTGCTCTCGCCGTCGATGGTAATGAGGAAGGGCAGGCAGCGGTCGGGCGGCAGGATGTCCATGCAGCGGTTCTTCTCATGGTTACGGGGCAGCAGAGCGATGCTGCAGTCTTCTACGCGCAGGGTCGGCGTCACCATGTTCAGGGTCTGGGGAACAGAGCAGGTATGCTCAGGACGAGAACCCCATCTCCTCTGCAGACCTCAGGGGACCCCCCGTGTCCTGTAGCTGATGGCCCCACTCCCCAGACCCCACTTACACAATGAGATTTTTATTTCTCTTTAGTTTTCAGGACTCTGTGCATAGACAGAGCCCATCAGACACAAGAACCGCTGTGTGTATGCCAGATCAGGTGCCAACGAGTCCAGCTAGGACTGGACACCGGGATATTTGGAGGGAGAGGTTGGCAGGGGTCAGGCTGGAGTTAGGTGTGGAGTCAGGTGCATTCAGACCCAAGGAGAGCATGAGAAATGGCATAGAGCACTCAGGTGGTGCTAGTGGTAAAGAACCGGCCTGCGAATGTAGGAGACGTAACACATGCGAGTTTGATCCCCGGGTCGTGTTGGGAAGATCCCCTGGAGGAAGGCAGGGCCACCCACTCCAGTACCTTGCCTGGAGAATCCCATGGACAGAGAAGCCTGGTGGGCTGCAGTCCGTGGGGTCAAAAAGAGTCAGACACGACTGAGCGACTTAGAACGCATGCACTCTTGCCAGCAAGCACCCTGAATGTGCCTGGCTTGGTCTAGCCGTCGGGGTTACACTGTGGGTCTGTCTGGCATCTGCGCCCTGAGCAGGGGTGGGGGCGGGGAGGGCCTGGCTCTGCCAGACCAGTGGTCTCGATGTGGGGACACTAACTACTTCAGCACATGGTCTGGCTGTCAGGATGGTGTTGGGGGTGGGCAGGGCTCAGGCATCCAATGGGCAGCTGCCAGGGATCCCACTAAACACCCAACAGGACAACCTCATGGCCGTGGACAACTGAGCCCCCAGCACCAAGGGTGCTGAGGCTGAGAAGCCTGGCGTGGGCTCAAGGGTTCTGGACTCTGAGCTTCTTCTTAGGAGCAAGCTCATAGCCGACTGTCCCTTTAGCATGACCTACCCGGAATTCCTCCTTGATCTGGCTCGAATTGGTCTGCGGGTCCAGCTTGTTCATGTCATAGTAGAGCGACCTGACCTGGGAAGCGGGTACCGAGGTGTCCCCACAGAGACAGGCTTCCAGAATGGCATCATGGATGAACACGTACTGCTCCTGGGGAAGCAGAGAAACCAAGGTAACTCCCAGGAACCAGAAGAGGAGGGGAGGCAGCCCCTCGTGGACCAGAGAACGATGGTCCACCCGTCATAGAGCACACGTTTCTTCCAGAGAGAAGGCCAGGGAGGGGACTTGGCCGCTCGGAGGGGGCTGTCCCAGGGCCAGTAATCCTGTCCCTCTCCAAATAGAGGGCAGGGCATTAGTGACTGGCCATGTGCAGAGGACAGCAGGAGGAGAGGTAAACAGGGGCTCGGTGCAGAAGGCGTCAACACACTGATGGAAAGCACTCAGACACTGGGCCTTCCCAGGTGGTGGTAGTGGTAAAGAAATCACCTGCCAATGCAGGAGACTTAAGAGATATGGGTTCGATCCCTGGGTCAGGGAGGTCCCCTGGAGAAGGGCATGGTAACCCACTCCAGTATCCTTGCCTGGAGAATCCCATGGACAGAGGAGCCTGGTGGGCTACAGTTCATGGGGTTGCACAGAGCTGGACAAGACTGATGTGACTTAACACGCACGCACATTAGTGAAAACATTAACTTCCTAGGAGCAGGATGGAATACTTATTCTCAAACACTTAAGTTTCTGGCACACCTTGAATTCTAACTTAGAGAAGTTCCAGAGTGCTTCCAGAAAGTGGGCAAATTCCCACGATGCCAGGCCACTCACTGGACAGAATTTTTAAGGACAGTCAGAAGAGAAGGAAATGCACAGAGATTACCCTTAAAAATCACTCTGCAAATGCCTGCCTGTTCTCAGGGGTGGTCTCGCTCTGGTTACCAGCTAGTTTAGAAGACACAATAAAAAGAAACGGTATTGAAATCCTGAAGGCTTCAAAGTGGAGCCTCAACCGGGACCCTGGATGCAGAAGCAAGGGGAAAGCTGGGCTTGGGGAACAAGCAGACTCCTGGCCTTTTTCATGTGTTTATGAGAGGAGAAAGAAAAGGAAGGAAGGAGGGAGGGTGGGAAGAAAGGATGGCCACATGCCTCGCCTTTTCTGCTGGGGGTTTCTGAAGATAGAACCGGTTCTCCCCCCGCCCCACGTTTGGCCCTGGGACGTGGGCAGCGGGGACGGAGCCCGAGGCTGGCGGGGTGGGAGTGATGGGGGCTCAGTACCTCGGTCTGCACCATGTTCACCCTCCGAGACCGCAGTTCCCGCACGCAGTTGTAGATGTCCACCACCCCTTCCCGCTCGGCCATGTCCAGCATGATGTCAATGACGATGAAACAGCCGGTCCTGCCCGCACCAGCACTGCACGGGGAGGAGGGGCTCAGTCAGGGGGGCAGGAGGGACCCCCGCTGCTCTTCCTCTTAGATCCTCTCTGGGGTGAAATTCACAGAACGTGGAACGACCACCGGAAGGTGTACAAATCAGTGGTGCCTGGCACCGCAACACTGTGCGACCATCGCCTCTGTCGAGTTTCCAAACGTTTCCATCACCCCAAGGGGACTCGCACCCGCTGCCCCCGTTCAGCCCCCGCTCACCTGCAGTGCACCACCAGCGGGCCCGCGTTGGGCGGGCTCTTGGATTTCACCTGCCGGACGAAGCCCAGCAGTCCGGTGGCGTGGTAGGGGACCCCGTGGTCCGGCCAGCCCGTGAAGTGGAACTGTCTGATCTCTCGGATTTCGTGGACGCCTCGCTGCCAGGGGCCAGTCAGCACGGGAGAGAACACAGGGAAATAGATGATGAGGGGGTAGGAGGATGCCAAGGACCCTCAGGGTCAGGGAGCCTGGGGCTGGGAAACTGACTGCTGGGAAGAAAATCATTCTTTGAGATAACACAGACTCTGAGAGCTCATCTCAGGGAGGAAGGTGTTTGGAGGGGTGGAAGGGGAGGTGATGCTCGGGGGACACGCGAGTTTACAGGTGCAACGGCAGTGAGTGGATAGTGATGGGCGCTGACTCCTCAAGCCTCCTCTCTAAGCTGTAGGCTCTGTTAACAGTCTGCGTGTCACTCATCCTACGGTGTGAGGAGCGAGCCCCGAGACACAGATCGGGGGCGGGAGGGGTCTAAGGGGTGTTTATGTCTTGAGACAAGGCGCCGAGACGCAGACCCCTGTCCAGCTCTTCCGTGTCTTGGTGCCATCTGCGCCAGGCACGTGGGCTGTGCACACGCCGATGGGCATAGGAAGGCTCCTGGAAGAAGGACCGCTTTCATCCAGACAGGCCAGAGGACCACTTTTCATTGGAACTCAAGTTTTTTCGGCTTCTCTTTCTAATTGGGGTAAACACTGAATCCATGCATCTGGCCACCAACACTCAGATGCACACGCAGCTCTTCAGGTCTGACTCCAGGGTCTGGAGTGGCAGAGATGTGGAGATGGTGCACCCTGTCTTCAGTGGTCGGCTTTTAGGAAGCAGGCATGTCAGCAAACACGAACCATGGAAACCAAGAGGTATTTTTGCTGGAATTCTGTTAGATCAATAAACTGAAGAGGGAGGGTGGTCCGCCACACAACTGAAGGGGAGGTGGAAGGAAACAGACTTCAAGCATTTTTTTTTTTTAAATTTACTTTTGTTTTGAGAATAACTAAGTTGATTTATGGGCTTCCCTGATGGCTCAGGGAAACTGAGCTGCCAATGCAGGAGACATGGGTTCCATCTCTGGGTTCAGGAAGATCTCCTGGAGAAGGAAATGGTAACCCAGTCCAGTATTCTTGCCTGGAGACTCCCATGGACAGAAAAGCCTGGTGGGTTATAGTCCATGGGGTTGCAAAGAGCTGGATGTGACCGAGCAACTAAGTACGTTAAATTGATTTTTATCCACTTTTTTACTTCCTAACTATGAATCTATGCATGAAGACTGTGTTTTAAAATAAGAGTCTGTTTTGAAAACAATTACCTCCAGAATCAAGGCTGGAGGTAACCTGAGATAAAACTTGACTTTCCCCCTTCTCTCTTTCCAGCACTGTTTCCTGGACACCATCTCTGTGTTAGGCCCTGGGTGTGGTTTTACTATCTCAACACAAACTGTCCAGGAACCCTATGTTCACCATTAGTCACTGTTTGTGGAAACTTAGCCAGGAAGAAATTTATGTGCCTTGAAAGACTAGAAGAGGCAAACAACTATAGGTTCTAAAGATAAGAGTTGTTTGCTATCAGGGTGTTCATTTATCTTGGTTTAATAACACAAAAGTGCGGAAGCTTCATTTCTCTTAGAAAATCATGCTGTTCTTTAGTTGGTTTAAGCATTAAGGAATTAAGCCGTCAGGGGTTCACAAAGGAAAATCAACACTGTCATCTGCTAAATACGCTCTGTGACCCAGAGCAAGATTCCCAGGTGGTTAGGAGCCCACGTTTCCTCTTGCTGAAACCATGATAACAGTTGGCCAAAGCCTCCAGCAGAAGACAAATGGTGAGCTTCTGTCACCTGTGAGTGCTCCCCTGGCTTTATATAGGACGATGGGACAGGGGTAGTCCCAGGAAACAGGAAAGCCTATAATAAATATTTCTTCATCCCAAAGAGGACAAGAGAGCACTTATGTCCACGATACACTGTTAATTTTAATTTTTTTGAGCACTTCTTTTTCTAGCTTTGCTAGGTTTCACATCTAGCATCCCCAGATTCTGAACTCCATCCATCATGCAGTGGGGAAGGGGCACCCAACTGATGCAAGACTCATTCTCTCAGCAGGGTAAATGTTAGTGTCCGGGATGCAGCAAACCTCTTCCCAAAATAAACCTTGCTCTCTAATGTGCTCACTACTGATGAGACGAGCAATGGAGTGGCTTCTGAGTCACCTCTCACTCTTGTTCACAGATGCGGCAGTTCCCTCTTTTGCTGTTTTGTAATATATTTGGGGGGATAGATCATAGATGTGATTGGTGATCACAGTCCCAACACGTTGCAAGTTGATATCAAGTATATTTTTGTTTGTTTTTCATGAACAAGATTTTGCTGTTGTTCAGTTACTAAGTCGTGTCTGACTCTTTGCGACCCCATGGACTGTAGCATGCCAGGCTCCTCTGTCCTCCAGTGTCTCCCGGAGTTTGCTCAACAAGACTGAATGTGAAATAAATCAGTATCATCATTATATATATAAATTGTAATAAATATTAATGCTATATAAAGGTGTCTGTATAGCCAAAGCTATGGTCTTTCCAGTAGTCATGTATGGATGTGAGAGCTGGACCACAAAGAAGGCTGAGTGCCAAAGAGTTGATGCTTTCGAACTGTGGTGCTGGAGAAAACTCTTGAGAGTCCCTTGGGAAGCAAGGAGGTCAAACCAATCAATCCTAAAGGAAATCAACCCTGAATATTCATTGGAAGGACTGATACTGAAGCTGAAGCTCTGATACTTTGGCCAACTTAGGTGAAGAGCCAACTCATTGGAAAAGACCCTGATGCTGGGAAAGACTGAGGGCAAGAGGAGAAGAGGGAAACAGAGGATGAGATGGTGGGATGGCATCACTGAAACAGTGGACATGAGTTTGAGCAAGCTCCGGAAGATAGTGAGGGATAGGAAAGTCTGGATAGGAAAGTCTGATGCAGTCCATGGGGTCACAAAGAGTTGGACACGACTTAGTGACTGAACAACAATAACAGAAGGTGTGATATTTACTTCATTCTCCTTGTTCTATAATGGGAGGGAAGACGCCTAGTAGAGCCTAATTCAGAGAGGGTGCTTGGTAAGTGAGTGTGGGATGGATGAATCCCTAGGTGCATGTTCTTTCTGACAGGTTCCAGGCCATATTCCTGCTTTTCCGAGCCCCAGGCACCTCCTTGCAGAGGGAGTTTGGTGTTTATAGCCAGCTTCCTTGCTGCCAGCATCAGTGGGGATAGATTCCCCCGACAGCTTAGATCCACAGAAGCTTTTCAGCTGTCTTCCTCCAGCCAGGATGGGCACTTTGTCTTTTAACATCTGTTCAGCTCCAGGTCATCAGCCTCATGGGAGAGGAGAGAGGACCGCCCCATGCAAAATAGGCATTGATCAGTTTCAAATTGCAAACCTTCCTGCTTGTTTGCAGAATGAAGCCCAAACCTATTTTTCACCTTTAGGTCCCTTGATGTAAATCGTCTCAAAATAGAATCAGAACTGCAGGACTCTCAAAGCACACACTTCACTTGGCTGTTTTTCTCTCTCTCTTTTTTCAAAGTTTCATTTCTAATGAGGAAGTTTAAAACCTACAAGAAGTGCTCTGCAGAAGTACTAACGATTTGTTTTCCTTAAAGATTCCAATTGCCTGGTTAGAAAATCACTAACGTGTCATTCTGATTTCCCCAAATGCCTTAACAAGCTCCTCATCCTTCTTTCCCTTCCACTAGCTCTTTGCTGGCTGTCTTAGGACTAAAATAACTGGGTGTTTCAGAAACATTTCTGTGCAGCTGGGGATAGAGAACACTAAGAGGTTAAAAAAAGAGCAAAGAAACAAACAAATCCTCCCTTTAGCCAGTGAGATGCATTTTCAGCTTATTAAAGAGCTGACTATTGTTCAAAGAACTCCATGTTTAAGTGATGGCTTTCAGATGATTTTTTTTTAAAGAAAGAAAATATTCGGGGTCTTTTATCACTATCTGTTTTAATGCAGTTATTCATGAGTGCTCTTGCCAAGAGCCATACAAAAATCCTCCATATGCTTTTCTTTTTTTCCCTCCTGATTCTGCCTAAAAAGGAAAAAAAAAAACTGACATCAAAGTGTGAGGTTCAGAACTTAAAGAATTGAGTCAACCAGAACTCCACATTCTTTGAAGTCTTCAAGCCTCCTGTCTGCTTATTAAAAAAGACAGGCTAAGGGAAAAAAAAGCTAAATAGTATGAGAAACAGATTAAAATAAACGAAAGTCTCTTCAGCCTTGTGATTCTATGACAAATAGGGATTTGAAAGCCAAGAGAGGTGTTCAAAACATTGGGGTAAATGAGCCAGGAGGCAAACGCTGCCATTTCTTCATTTCCCACAACTGGTCTCGTTAGTCTGGAGACTGCGTTGAGATGCAGGGGGAATAAGGGCTGGAACCAACTGCCCAGAGGTTCACTTACAATCCTGGGGTCTCTAAGGGTGCCCACCACTGGACAACTCGTGCCAACTTTGCTAGGTCCAGTGTAGGGTTCAGCTGCAGAGAACCAGCTCTGGACAGAAGCCTGGGGACCCCAGAGACAACACCAGGGGTCTCCTTCTTGGAGGACAGCAAGGCAGAGAACTCGCCGGGCACATCACCTCCGCTCCCCGCCCCCCGCAGCCTACCTGTGACACTTCTCGGGACGGACTGCAGTGTGCTTCTCCTCCGGGCCCTCCCTATGTCGGCAGAAAGAGGGGGGTAAGGAGATTCCCTGTTATGCCCAGAGCAGCAGCCCCATCCATGCGCGTGGGATGAGCATTTGGGACGCCGCGCCCGCAGGGACCAAGGGCTGAAACCAGCATGGGAGGGAGTGAATGGAGAAGCTGGTTCATGCAGAAGCGTCCCGTGTCTACTTATGTGTGTTTCCAGGTAGATGCTTCCACCTGGAAAGTCCATCATCTGCATGAAACCACAGGCTGAGAAAGCCTCGAGGACGTGAAGGGTATCCAGGAGGAGTTAGAACCTGTGTCTCCACACTGATGCTAACTCAGCACGGGGGAGCCCACATGGACATACAGCATGAAGGACATTTATCGACTGCCTCCGAACAATGACAGAGAGACGGGCTGAACAATGCCAACCAGGTTGAAAAGAAAAAGGAAGTGGACAGCTAGGTGTATCTTTTGGTTTAGTGGCAAAATACATATTCCTATGAAATGGGAATGATTTGCTTCAAAGATGGAAGTGAGGTGCTGCAGGACCAGAGGGTAGGATGCAGTCTTGAGTCATCACTGGCTACAGCCTACCTGCATTCAGGTGAGACCACGGATGAATTATCCTGGATAAGTTAATGAGGCTGGTATCACTAATGTCTGACTGTAGCTTTTCAAAAATAGTGTGAAATCTTACCTTTTCAACAGCAAATGTTCTTATCACATATTCTGCCAGTAGCTCTGTTTCTATTAGGGTAACTTTAATGTCTTTATAGATCTCCGTGTCATCTGGCCAGTATTTGCAGCATTTGACCTTTAGAAAACACAAAGGAAATGAGGCTAAAGTGGGTTTTTTTTTTGGAGTTCTCTAAATGCTGGGTCACAGTATAATTTATAGGATACAATTTGTGCACAAAATCAGAAATATAGCTTAACTTTGTTCTTTTAGATCATCTGTATATTTTTTTCTCTCCCCAGAATAAAACACAATTTGAGTCATGGGAGGAATAAAACCTAGGAATGTGGTCTAAACTTAACAGAATGTATTTATACTACAAATATCCCAGTTACAGTAACCATTCATTTCCTGTCTATTTCTACTCAGGAGTGGCCTGGAAAAATAAACTACAAAAGGTGGCTTGCAATATTTTAGCTCCTCTGAACTTTAAATTTCTTCTAGTTTCAGAAATTGATGGAACATTTTGAAGGAGGACCAAGCAGGAAATTGGAGCCAAAAGTCAAGATTAGAGATTTTTTTTTTCCTGAAGAAGGCAATAGCTATGTGTTTTTCTCAAGTTACAATTACAGACTCATTTTTTGTCTAAGTAAATTCAGTGTACAAAACCTGGTGAACTCCCCGTGTTAATGATTTCTTCAGTCACCCAAGCACAAAGCCTGGAGATCCTCCTCCAAAACTCAACCAAGTGCCAAGTCGAGCAAGCTGTTGAAACAGCTTTCAAATATGTTTTCCGGCTTTTTATTCCCTCCGCCACCATCTTTGTTAAGGCTCTGCTAACTTCCTGTGTGGACATCCCCTCCTCAAGTAGCTGCAAAAACCCTTCCAAGTGTGGTCCCCCTGGCACTGACTTGCTCTGCTCAGTAAACTTCTGTTTCCAATGACTGCCCGTGAAATTAAAGAGAAATTAACTTTGGCCTGGCACGTAGAGGTCTTTTTTGTACTTGGCTGCAACTAGATTAGCATCTTCATCCTTATATTTTCATTACCCTTCTTTCAAGCCACATGTATTTTATGTTCAGAGACAAGTGGTCTGCCCGATCCCCCAGCAGATCTCATGGTCCAGACTCCTACTCAGGCCCCTCCCAGACACACAATTTGTCCAGCTGAACATTTCACCTGTTCTTTGAAGAGTATCTCAAATGCCACACCCCTTCAAAATCTTTCCTCCGTGGATGTGAGCTCTCTGTTGATGGTCTGATAAGACGTGCCAGTTCTGTTGCTATGACACTGGGTGATGGCCTGCTTATTACTTGCAGGCAAGCAGAGGGCTTTCTATTGCTTATTTCTGCCCCTGGGGCCCAGAGGAGTGGTCATTAGGAGAAAGGAAGCCTCCTTCCAAAGAGGTGCTTGTGGGCAGCCTTCTCCGAGCAGAGGCACCTGGCTGGGTGGGCCCAGAAGCGGCGGCGGAGCCATTCTGCATCCCGCCCTCCCATCTCATCTCCCAAAATATCCTGAAATGGCTTGCCACATCTGTTTCCAGCCTACTCAAAACCTTTCTAAACTGGGTTCACTTTAGTATCTTTTTAACTGCTTGGACTTGTGTCAAGAGGAAAGTATGTTTCCTTCTGGATGCAGGCTTTCCACCTGGAGTCCGGGCTTGAGTCGCCTCCTTGCCTCTACATTTGGTGGACACGGATGTTCAGACCAGTGGTTACTGGGTATCTGTTGGAACCCAGGCATGGCAGAACCAGACGCCCTTCTCCACTGACCGTGCTGCCGCGCTGCGCTCCCCGCACGGCTTCCTCACCACCTAAGGCAGCAGACAGTCTTCAGCCCAGAATGCCAGGCCCCGATCACACTTGTCCAGTTACCCGGCATCTCAGCGCCACTTCCATCCGGCCATCACCTGGGCACCCCGTGGCCAAGGCTGCTGCCTGCTCGTCATCATGGAGGGCGGCAGGGGTGTGTGATGGTTTCCTGCCTCCAACGCGGCATGGTTGCCGGCTTTAAAATTCACAAACGTGAAACAGTACAGGAAGCAGAATAATTCCTGGATTTCTAACTGCCTGCACAAAGGGTCATTTTTAGCCAGCAGCCCAAATGATCCCATGTACAATAAAGTCAGAGACCCCTGGATACCCAGGCTGTAGCTCCCAGGCTGGCCACACATTACTGTGACCTTCAGGGTGTCTTTGGAAGAGGGCACGGCAACCCAGTCCAGTATTCTTACCTGGGGAATACCATGGACAGAGGAATCTGGCGGGGTTGCAAAGAGTTGGGCATGACTGAGCACGCTTGCATGCACGCAGGAATTAGCAAAGGGTCTTGGGACGTAGGGTTGGGGAGAGCTTCACACCCAGTAAGGCTGAGAGGAGCCACAGTTTTCAAACACTCCTCTTCCAGAGTATCACGACTGTCAGACCCAGCTCTTCCTGCCTGGACTCTGCTTTGAGACCCTGGGTTCTCACGACCGTGGCCTCACCAGTGGCCAGCTCGAGGGGAGAGCCAGCAGGGGCCAGGGCCGGCCAAATTGCCCCTACCCCCACTTCCTTCTCGCCCTGGCTCATGTCCTGAAAGGAGGAAATGAGAGGCTGGCCCAAGGACTGAGAGGCACTCGCTCCAGTAATGAGTGGCTGGTGGCTGGGAGAGGCTGCGGACAGGTCTCAAGAGCAGGGCTCTTTGGAGGAGAAGCTCACGGTCAATCATGCTGTCTTCAGTATCTCCAGGCCCGGCTTCAGGGACAGACACTGAACAGGCAGCCCTGAAATGACTTCAGCTGCCTGGCCTCTTGGGGTGGGAGGGGATAGGAGGGGAAGGAGCAGGAAGAAGAGACACATTCAATGGCAGCATCCTCCATTTGTATTCCTGATCACAAGTGGCTCCGTTTTGTGGATGCTCCCATATCACCAGCTCTTCGGGCGGCAGGATGGAGGCTGGGGCAGACCGTGAAGGTCTGTTTCTGTGCTCTGTGCTGGGCCAAGGACTCATTTTGCTAAGAAGCCTGTGATCATGGAGGATGAAGTCAGCCCTTCACTGCGGCCACCACTGCCCCATCGAACAGACACAACCATCGAGGAGGCGGCAGGCAGGAAAAAGATGAAGACGCTGGTACAAGTTTTGATCCATCAAGGGGTTTTCAGCAGACTCTTTCTAAAAAGACATCCAGAGAGAGAGTGACCACGTTCTATTAACAGCTGTGTCAGGGGCTGGCTGAGCGTGGCTTTGCTGGGGACGCTGTTGACAAGAGTGGGGACACTGCAGGGAAGCACAGTGACTGAAGAGCCCTGTTAAGAGCTGCCTGCCAGCGAAGCTTCCAAAAGAACAGGTCTATAGTGTACAGGATTTTTTGTCTTCAACAGAGATCTCACAGCAATGAGAACATTCACTCAGTTAAATACCCAGATTTCTCTGGCCCCTGTATGATGAAGTCAGATGGAGGTGCACTGGCCTTTTTCTTGCTGACTTGTGGTGGTGCTGCAGCCGATGATGTGGACCCCTGAGCTCAGTTTTCTCATGCACAAAATGGGACTATAGCATTGCTTTTAGGGAGACTGTGGGCAGTAAGTGAGGCAGGCTGTATAAAGCAATACCTGGCCTGTCCTAGGTGCCCAGCTCCTCCCTCCGACACCTGCCACATTCGGCCCTGCCTTCTCCTTTGGGCAGCATATCTGAAGCCTGCTCTAACCGCTGGAGGTCTGGATAGTGTGAATTTGGGGGAATCACTTCATGGCACCAGCAAATCCCTCTTCAGGCTCCTGCTTCAACCTCCTTCTTCAGGGCTTCTGATTTTCTATCTGGTATTCCATTGCTGCTGCTACTGCTGCTAAGTCACTTCAGTCGTGTCCGACTCTGTGCGACCCCATAGATGGCAGCCCACCAGGCTCCCCCGTCCCTGGGATTCTCCAGGCAAGAACACTGGAGTGGGTTGCCATCTTCCATTAGCATCTCTTAATTAATGGATATACAATACTTAGAATATGCATAAGGTCACATCCGTATCCGTAATATTTCTTTTCATCTGCTGTAAAGAAACACGTGGCCCGACGCCTCCTGTGGAATTCTAAGCGTCATCTTGCAGACTTCCCTGGTAAATGCCCTGTTCCTTTTCTCTCCTACCTAACTAGATGACAAACCATAAGCGCTTTGAAGAAACACATATACCCAGGCTGCTTGTTCCTCACCTTGTTCAACAGATTGGCATGACTTTTAGCCATTCCTGAAATTTGAATCATCCTGCCGAAGGACGGAGGCTGCCACCACTGAGGACAACGATTAGTGTGTGTTCCTCTCTTGGTGCCTCCATTTTTCAGTTGTAAAATGGGGATGGTGCAGACTTCCTCTGTTTTCCTAGTTTCATCTTAAAGTTACAGAGGAAGACAAGGCTTGAATCAGTTACATTAATATGATGGTTGATGGTGGATCAAAATACAGAGGAATACTTACTGAATTAGTATAAGATCATCAAAGGTTAAAGCTATCTTTACTCAGGTCACAAAATGTCAATCTTAAATACCCAATTCGTTAAAAAAAAAAAAGATCGATGAAAGGCAATCATGAGAGTTCAAGACAGAAAAATTTCAGTAATGCCTACAAAAATAATCTGTCTCTTCCCTTTCACATATGAATTGGATGTCTTGGAACAACTTAAGAGATTTTGTAAAAAAATTATTATTTTGTACTGCTATATATTACCTATAGTTTTTTTTTTTTTTACTATTAAACTATTTCCACATGTTATTAAGGGGAAAATCTTTCCTCTCTCTTACTTCTTCCATTGATCCTGGATCTGGTGGTTCTTGTAGGAAAGCAAGTGTTCTTTGTATTAAGGCTCCAGGTGCACTTGGAACCTTAATACATCTTCCTTATAGGTGAAGAAGTCAAAGTGTTAGTTGCTCAGGCATGTCCGACCTTTGTGACTCCATGGACTATAGTCCGGCAGGCTCCTCTGTCTATGGGATTCTCCGGGCAAGAATACTGGAGTGGGTAGCCATTCCCTTCTCTAGGGGATCTTCCCAACCCAGGGATCAAACCTGGGTCTCCTGCATTGGTAGGCAGATTCTTTACCATCTGAGCCACCAGGGAAGGCCATCTTGTATGTGAATTAGAGCTTATTCTGACATCCAGTGTTCATCTTT